CTCCAAAGAAGCTAAAGGAACCTTTCTCTCACCTCCTTCAGAGAACTGGAGATTCTGTAAGCCTCAGGTGTATGAAACACTAAAAGAGATATCCCTCTCTTCTAGATCTTTAATAAATTCGTGCTTTCTTTATTTTTTCCAGACAGCTTTTTTTTTCTTCCCCTACCTCCCAAAGAGTGACGTTGAAGACTTAGTAGAAAGGGACTTCCACCCTTTGGGAAAGGTCAGTGCTGAGTTGCAATAAGGAAGAGAAGAGATTTACAATCATCAGCATCACTATTTCCATCCCTCTCATCCACCCCCCTCCAAAGCAAGAGATAAATCTTAGAAAATCGACTGGACTCCCAAGAAGATGAGGAGCCAGCTAGCTAGTGAGGGATCCTTTGAGGCCTCATGCCCGTAGTAGTAGGTTGCTGCCCTCATATCCCTTCTCTGTCTAATGTTTGCCACACTGCCTCTGCTCCTCTTCCTTGCTCCTGGAAGTATTTGTTCTCTTCTCTGCCCGGGTAGACAGAATCTGATGCATCCACCTAGCTTCCAGTCTCTATCTGCCTCTTTATCCAGGGATCTGAACAAAAAAAAGAACCAACGTGACTACTGATTTTCCTAATATCACTCTCAAAGCTCAGACCAATGCATGTGTGTGGTGGGAGGACTTTACCCTCGCGGACAAAGAGACTCTCCCTTCCATTTGTGCCATTGTGTTGCTAAAAAAAAAAAAAATCCCTAGTTCAAGAAAGAATTCCTTGAACCAGGAGAGAATGGGAATAATGACCACTGAAATGATATTCCATTTCTGGCCCCTGGGGGAAATGATTTTTTTGTTTGTTTGTTTTTTAAATTTATTTAGAGGAGATGTATAGTCTGAACTTTAATAAGTGCTGTAATTTACCAGAGGGAGGGGGTGCAAGATTCGGGGACCCCAAGCAATTGGTGGGAAACTAGATCTCAAAGCAGAAAATGAAAAGTCGATCTGGGGGAAGATTTTTAAATAACTGGGTCAGAGGGACGGAGAGGAGATGAGGCGATCAATCTTAGCCCCCTGACAGCTCCCTCCCATGGCATCAAAGAATTTGGCTCTTTGGGAAAGCTGAGGGAACAGCCTAAATTCCACATCCCTTTAAAAGGCCTGGGGGTTGGGGGGGGCAGCAAAGGAGAAAGGTGATTCTGGGAGAGCGAGGGAAACAGATGGGAAATGGGGACAGAAGGAAGGGCGCTAAGTTGGGTGGAAAGTTTGTCTGGAGAACTCCCACGGCTCTGGCCTTCCCCTCCCCCTCCTTGCTCACTGCAGCCCAGCCAAGAGCAGAAGACTGGTTAGCAGAGAAATGGCAACTCAGCCGGGAGCTGGAACTAGAAACTTTCTGTCAGTGTAACAGCTGCGTGGGTGGCGGTGAGTATTCATCCGCGTGGGTGATGGTGAGTATTTAGAAAGAAGAACCGAGAAGTCTGGGAAGGGTGGGGGCAGAGGAGAAACAGCATGGAAGGGGAATTGTAGGTGGGGGCTGCGCGGCTAGTGGGTAGCAGGTTGCGGGGAGGGGGTGGGGAGCCCAAGACCCAGAGCTCTGCTCCCCCAGCTGTGCGACTTAGCCCGAGGCGGTTGAGTTCAACTCGGCTTCCCCAAAAGCAAATATTGCCCTTTCGAGGTGGCGGCTGGCACAGAAGAACCCAAATGGTAGTTCGCTGAAAGTCATGCAGGGGATCTGGGAAAGCATTTCTCCCTCCGCTCCCCTACCCTGAAAGACTCCCTGAAAGTTTCTTTCCCAGCCCTTCCAGCTGGTTGCAGGGTCCCGCCTTCTCCCTTCTCCCTGCAACAACTGGGCTGAAGCTGATCCTGCAGAAAATATGGCCCTCTCTAACCCTGCTGACAGATTTTACGGCCAGATTAGAGAACAGCAGAAATCTTGGGTGTTAAAAGGGGCCAAGAGAGTCCTCCTTCCCGGAGACTCCGCTTCCCCGCCCCTCTGTTGTGTAGTATGAATCTTACAGCGCAGAAATTCTTTCCCCATAACTTTGGCTGCCTCACTAGCGCCTGGAAACTCTGGAAACTCACTCGTGGAGAGGAGAGTAGCGGACCCCAAGCCAAGGGGGGCCTCATTCTTCTTGTTTGGCATTCATGATTCAAGCCAAAGCCCTGTTTCTCAAATTGGAGCTAAACTCTCCATCTGACCCTTTCTTCATAGATAAATAATCCATTCCACCCCTAATGCCGAACATGGCGCTTCATCTACTTACACCATTCAAAGCCTGTTATTCAGGGAAAGGAAGAGAGGAGGATAGAAAGAGAAACCCTTGAGCGTTATTTGATCCCAATCAAACTTTGCACGCTCTTATGCCTTTAAATTATAGTCTGACCCAATGCGAAATTGCGTGCTGCTTGGATGAGCCCAGTCCAGTTAAAATCCTGCATGGTGGAGGTTGGGGGCTGGAGAATTCAGGTTGCTTTTTTATTGTTATTTATTGTTGCATAAAGACCGTAATTACTAACCTTGGACTGCCAGGATGCAACATAAAAATGAAAATCAGTCCTCGCTTTAAGGCTGAGGGCCCGGAACGATTCTCACAGATATTCCCCCACCCCAACTCTACCACCAAATATATGCTCCTAATTAAGCAATGCGGGTGCATCGCTTACAATTAGAATTATGCAACTCTTCAGCAAGCAGCCAGCGCTTCTCTTTCAACGAATTAGCTCCATATTTCAGCCGCCCTGTCTCCTCGCTCTTATCGGCTCCAGCGACGCGGCGGTGACATTTCATCTTTGACAGACCCTCTCTATCCTCGCTCCAATGTGATAAAACTTTTATGGAACCACGACTAAGAAATGAAGTTTTCCCAAGGATCGTGGAAAAAGAGCCGCGCTTTAGCCTGGGGACCATTTTATTTACGCCTGGATCCAACACACACACTCCTCCGCGTTCCCTGGCAGGGGAATCACACGCGCCTCCTCTCCCTCCTCCCTCGGTTTTTATTTAGTGATTTAATTTTACTCTAGTTATAAGGTGTGACCTGAGACGTCTAGGCCTTGAGTTTTCTTTCCATTTTATTTTTTTTTTTAAGATTAATCATTTTCCTTTGTTTTCATTTTAGACCCAATGGTGGTTGGGCTTCAGGTCACGTGACAACTTCTTTGTAGCTCCGGAAGAGAACTGTGAAGTTTAGGTTGCTTGGAAGAAGCAGGAATGGGCTAGATTTTTACTTTTTTCTTGCTTTTTCTTTGCTTCTGATTATGGTTGTGGGGAGAGGGCAAAGTGGAGGGAAGACAAAAAGGTCAATGAGTGAGCAAAACTGGGCTGACAAAGAAGTCAGGGACAGAGCATCCAAGAATCTTCCCTCCTCACCCTCCCCCTACCACCACCACCAACTTGTGACTTAAGCCTTTGCTAAAGAAGTTGGCAGAATGTTCCAGGCCTCGGTGAGGAAAACTCTGAACCTGAGCTAAAGCAAGGGGAAGGTGGGGGGGAACCAGGATAGGGTCTTCAGATGTCCTTCCTTGAGGGGGGGGGGGACATTTGGCTTGGCAGTCAGCAGGCCGGCTCTATCTAAATTGGACCACCAGGACAAGATAAAATTGATAACAGAAAGTTTATTCAAGAATTGTTTGACAGACAACCCTTTTAAGTAAGGAAAAAAGTAACTACGAAGAACAAAGAAAGTTCCAAGAGGGAATTAACTCTAACTCTACAAATTCAGACTATACAGTGACAATTAGGAGCTGAGTTCATGCCTTTTAGCACTAATTACAATTCCTCATAAGTACGAGTTTAACATAAATCTACAGCTCTTTTCTAGAGTACAATAATAACTAAAATAGCTGGTTTTACATGACAGGAAACACAACGTCCTTTATAACAATACTAAAAAAAAGTACAATTTTTTTCCTTTTTTTCCCTCATATAAATACATAAATGTAGGGGATAAATAATACCAAAAAAAGAAAATATTTTAACAGGCTATAACCAATAAATATATATGAAAATGTTCACTAGAACACACGCTTTTTGAGCGATGCTGGGCTCCTGCAGGCCCAGGCACCTCTCACAGTTGTTTTTATATCCATTAAAATGTAAACTCTAAGTGCAACAAAAGTGCCCTGTCAGAGGGTTGAGCAAGGCCCGCAGGCCCAGCCTTTGCCTCTGTCTGGGACAGACAGTTTGTTAAAATATACCCTGTTTTCACGTTAAGTCAAGAGAGCAACAGAAGAAAAGAAAAGTGTAGAACCTCGTGTCACCGATTGCTCTGCTCGCTGGGGAGAGAGGGGGGTGGCCCTGGAGCCAAGATGGGCGACAGCAGAAAGGGGGAACTTGCAGTCCTGACACCTTGCCTGTCCTGTCTCCCAGCTTTGCCATGAAAGAAAAATATATATATTTATAATATAGACAGCTCTCCCTTTCAGGATATCTCACCATCCCTGAGCCCTCTGGAAACTGTCATTGGCGGAGGTGGTTTTAGATATGTCCTAGAGCAGAAAAATATGGGTTGAGACATGGAGGGGTGCCCAATAGGCAGGCCTCAAATAGATGGAGGCAAGACTGAGGCTTCAGGGAGGTGGGAGGGGAGCCATGCTTTGTGCCCTTGGTTGTGAAATGCTTTCTTATTTTTCTTTTCAAGGGGGGAGGGAATCGAGATTTGAGGAAATCGCCCACAGAAATGGAAGGTAAGACAGTTGTGGGGTAGTGAGCAACGAGGGTTTCTAAATGTGCTTGTCTGCCTGGTCCTCCACCTCCAACCCCCTCTGTCGTGTGGGATTCCAGCTGGGAGCTGCTGGAGGCCTAGCTTGGACGAGGTCATCTCCAGTCTGCCGGGCATTCCTTTCCCAAGGGTTGGCAGGCAGATGGGACCAAGGGCTGGAGGACGGAACTGAAATAAGCAAACTCTTGGACCAGGGGGAGGGGAAGGAGGGCCAGGCCGGTTCATCCCAGGAAACCTGGCTACCACCCCCTTCCAGCTTCCTTTCAGACCTCCAGCCAGCCCCCCACCCCAGGATTTCACTTCCTCTCCCATCACAGGTGTGTTAATTTGGGCGCTTCTTGGATTCTACCCTGAGGAGGAGGCGCGTGGTGAGAGGAGAGGTCTGTGTAGGTGGGGTGGGGGTCGCAGGGTCCGTGGTGCTGGCTGGGGGCCATAGGGGGCGCCCCGTTGTAGTCCAGGTTCCCAGAGGGGTGGTGGGAAAGGTGGTTGAGGCCGTAGAGGGAGGGGCCGGCAGGGGGCGGCAGCGGATCCGCGTAGCCGCCCCCGCCCACGTACACGGGGCTGCCCTGCATGGTGGGCGTCCCATAGGCGCCCCCGTTGGCTTGCAGGACGTGAGGCTCGTACTCGGGCGCCGGGGTCGGGGCGTACTTCTGCGGGGCGCCGCAGCCTTTGAGAGGAGGCTGGTAGTTGGAGGGCAGCGCGTAGGCATTCTGGTGGGCTTTGCCGAAGGCGGGCGGGGATGGGCTCTCGTAGCTGGGGGTCATGGAGTGTAAGGCGTTCATGAAGCCGGCGGTGGACTGCATGGGCTGCGGGGGGCTGCCGGCGGGGGAGGGGCCCCCGGACGACGAGGCCAGCCCCTTGGCCTTCTGGTCCTTCTTGTACTTCATGCGCCGGTTCTGGAACCAGATCTTGATCTGCCGCTCGCTGAGGTTCAGCAGGTTGGCCATCTCCACGCGGCGCGGCCGGCACAGGTAGCGGTTGAAGTGGAACTCCTTCTCCAGCTCCACCAGCTGCGCGCTCGTGTACGCCGTCCGCGCCCGCTTGGACGCCGCCGATCCCGGGGGGCTCTTGTCCCCTCCCCCTCCGCCGCCGCCCCCACTGCCGCCGCCGCCTCCTCCTCCTCCACCTCCTCCTCCTCCTCCTCCACCTCCTCCTCCGCCGCCGCCGCCGCAGCCCTCCGCTGGATCCGAGGGGGGAGGGGTGGGATGGGGAGAAAATGAAATAAAAGATAATTACTGAACACGCCGAAATTGAATGCATCGTTTCTTAATAAATCCAGGCCTGGACTCGGAGCCCCCGCCGCCCTCCCCTTCCCGTCCCCGCCTCCTCCTCACCCCCCCCCCCGCCCGTCGTATTAGCGGACACTCTATAATAGTGGCATTTATTAAGAGACCTGCTCTCCTCTCACTGCCCCAGCTTATGAAAATTTGATCATGTCACGCAGACAGCCGCATGGCCATTTATTTAGGGCTGGATTTTCTCACGCACGCTTTCTCCCCCTTCTCCCCAATTCCAGGTCTGGGAAGACCCGACCTCCACCCCACCCTGCTCCCGTCCCGTGGACAGGGTAGATAGCCGAGGAGGACGCTTCGGGGAATATGGACAATCGTGGGCAGGGCCGAGAAGTGTAGAGCGAAGAGAAAGCCGTGCCTGGAGGCCGGGACAACGGGGCGCCCGAGCGATTGTGATTAATACCCACAGTAATCATACTTAATAATAATCAATCCACCGGCCGCGGCTCCTGGCGCGGAGGCCTTGCAAAAGGGCCGAGGCCCAACGCTGGTGCCTTTGGGAGCTCTCAGCAGCTCAGGTGGAGGGAGGGTGGCTGGAGGGAGAGGGTGTTGCGGGGTCAGAGGGCATCAGGTGGTGGGGGTCCAGGCAAATGCGCCACGGCCCGCCACCTGGTATTGTTCCCCGCCCGCCGCCTGGGCGCCTACAGGCTGGGTGCTAGAAAAACAGTGACATTCCTGCCCGGACAAAAGCTGACGACGACGAAGGCAGAGCTGGTACCTGTGCCGGGGGAGCTGTTTTTCAGCTTGGACGTTTGCCTCGACTCTTTCATCCAGGGGAATATCTGTTTGGTGAGGGTGGAGTTGGAGCCGGGACCGCACTTGGGGGGGCCGCTTTTGCTGGGCCCGCCCCCATTACTGCTGTTGCTAGTGGTACTGGTAGGTGCGGCGCTGGGCGGGGGTGAGCCGGGTGGGGCGGGCAGGGGCTCGGGGGCCAGGCCGGGCCTCATGCAGCTGCCGTTGAGCTCCTTGCTCTTGGCATGCGGGGCGGCGTTGCCCAGGGACTGCAGCGAGCACGCTGAGCGCTGGTAGTCGCCCTCCAGGTGCGTGGCGGCCTGGAAGGGGGGTTGGGAGGGCACGTCGTATCCGAAGCCATTGCTGCCCGGGTAAGAGGAGTAGCCTCCGAAGAGTGCAGCCGCGGCGTTGTCGTAGTAGGTGGCTTTCTGCATCGCTGGGCGAGGCCCGGGCAGTGGGTGGCAACGTGCAAGGGCCTGAGACCCTCACGACCGTACATTGGCACCCCTGGGGGTCACGTGGCACACCGGACCCCCCTCCCTGCTCTGCCCCCCTCCTCCCCGGGTCTGTTCGCAGAGGCTGACCTGCGGGGTGAGAGAAGAGACAAGGGGGAGAAGAGGACTAGGGCGCAAATCCATCTTCGGAACTGAAAAGGGAACTGACATCAATAGGGTTTTCTTCTTCTCCCCCACCCCAACATCTCCACAGCAGATGCCCAGGCCAGGTCCCAGACCTGAAAGGAATTTTTCCCCCCTAATTTCATCACTTTAATTTCAAAGAAAAAGAGCAGTATTTACTTCCTCTTTAAAAATAAGATCTGTACTTCTTTGCGGACAGCCTGGATAGGGAATCTTAGTGGGGTGGGAGTGGGTCATTGCATGTCTCCCACCTCCCAAGCTCGCCCCTGACCTTTCCTCCTCCCTCTCCCATCCTATTCCCTCCCCCCAACTCTGGGATAGGGTGACTCAAGGAAGGGTGGGGGGAAGACTAGGAGACACCAAAATAAATATGTCATCTACACCTCCCGCCAGCCTTTGCCTCCCTCCTCAGCCACCTGAGCTCTCACCCAGCCTAACCTGGAGCAGAAACAGGGTCCCGGGAGAAAGACTGGAGGTAGAAGCAAGAGGACCTGGGAGTGCTATGGAAATGAACCTCTCCCTACCTTCCCACCGCACTAAGACAGTGGCATGCCGACCTAGAAACTTTCAGAAGATTTTCTAATCTCCAGACCCAGACCCAGCAGACGGACATGAACCTTTTGCAGGTACCACCACCTCCAGCCCAAGACTCCACTCAGCCTAACCTGAACCCTGGCAGCCAGCAGTCCCCTTGGGAGCCCCAAATGGTGCAAGATTGTTTCCACTTTCCTGACCCGGCTGGTTGGTGCTCTGACCATTTGGCCCAGGTGCCTCCCCAAACCCCCATTTATTTTAAAAATCAGACCTAAGATTTCCCCACTTCCTTATATTTTTCACTGTTTCCTTTGATTTCTCCAGAAGAAGAAAAGAGGAAAGAAATTGGGTGGAATTTTCTATCAAGAAATGGGAGAGTGCTTTCTAAAAGAGAAAAGTATTTCCTACAAAAAAACAAAGTTAACAAAGCAGCATGAACAGTATTATTCGCTGGGCTGGCAGCACAGGCTACACCCCCCCCCCCCCCCCGCTTGCCAAAGTTCTCCGAGCACACAGGGGAAAAAAATCATTATTTTTAACTCAGCCTTTTTTTTTAATGTGTCCAAAAAAATAAAGGTTCAAACTATCATAGGATCGTGTATATTTCTTCTGAAACTTCAAACTGCACCCCCCTCCCTACCCCCTCATCATCACTTTTCATAACACCTCCAGAGTGACCCGCTGTCTGACATGAGTTTGAAATACTTCAATCTCATTCATACCGCTGGTCAACTCCAAAACTCCAAAGAAAACTCAAAAATAATAATAAAAGAGTGCAGGTGAAGGAAGTCCCTCCCACACATAAATCGCCTTCTTAATGGCATAGATTTATACTCAAAAGGGGGCTGGGGTAGCCCTGACTTCCGATTGGTTTCTGGGAAGAATTTGTTTCTGGGAAATCCACATGGGTCTGCAAAGCAGCAGGTCCTTCCAGGGAGGAGAACTGGAGTTCAATTGACCAGGCTGACCCAATCCCTTTATTATTATTACCATTAGCCTCTGATGATTTAACCAAAATTAACTTCGGAGCAGCCCTGGCTGAAGGGGGAATTAATTAACAGTCATCAGTGGAGTTTGTTATTAATAGATAGGAGAATGAAATAAAAACGTTGAAGGGGGTTGGCTGGCTGGGCCCTGGCTTTATTTAGTCTGAATGATTGTTACGGCAGTAATGATGATGAGGAGGAGGAGGATAATAATAATAAAACAATAATTTGACTAGACGCCTGGGGCCGAAATTCCTGTCGCTCCCCCTGCCATAAACCGGCAAACAGTCGCAGGACCCAGGCCAGGCGAGTGTGGGAAATGCAGAAGCCAGAGACGTGCTAGGAAAGAATGGAGACAGTGCCGGCGGCGGCGGCGAGCCGGGGCGCGGAGGGGTTGTGGCCGGGCGGGGTGCGCCCCCGGCCGCCGCCGCCGCCGCCGGCTGTCTCGGCCGCTGCCGCCGCCGCCGCCGCCGCCGCCGTAGCTGGCGACGGGCTCCGCGGGCCCGGGCACGCGAAGAGAAAGCGCTCCGGACGCCGGAACGGTTCGCGGCGGCAGGGTCCGAGCAGATCGGGCCAAGGGCTTGAGCCCCACCGGCGGCAGCAAGTTTGGGCGCTGGAGGTAACTGAATTAAAAGGCGCCCTGGCAACTCTGCTCCGGGACTTCGCGGCGCGGCCGGGCTGGAGGGCGCCCAGGCCTGGCTGATGGGGCGGTGGGAAGAAGGGCTGCAGAAGGGATCCGAGATCTGGGGATCCAGGCGAAGAGGGGGTGGGGAGCAGCTCTCCCAAGCCAAACATGTCTATTTCCCTTGCCTCCATGTTGGAAAAATCCAAGCTCCATATGGCTTCTCGGGAGAGAGGGAGGGAGATGGTGTCTCCAGGCTTCCCCCCAGGGTCTCGCTGGAGAAGGGCAGCGAGCCACCCCGGAGAACCCCACCTTGCCAGGCACACCCGGGAGAGGAGCCCGGAGAGTAACAATAGCTGGGACAGCCCCGGGAGAGGGGAGACAGAGCACCTTCCAGGACTTTAAAAAAAAAAATTAATGGAAGGAAGAAAAAAAGATTTTTTTTTTTAAAGAACAAGAAAGAAAGAAAAGGTTAGCATCTTCTTAGCAGGGGGAAGAATTGAACACTGGATCTGACTGCTGAAAGAAAAGAGGAGAAAAGGATAGAAACAGGAAGAGAGAGGGAGAGGGAGAGAGGGAGGGAGGGAGTGAGAGAGGGAGAGAGAGGGAGAGAGAGAGGGAGAGAGAGAGAGGGAGAGAGAGCGAGAGTCGCTGCGTGGAAGGAAGCTTAAAGCTTGTGAACTCTTCTTGAACCGAGATTGGAGTCATATGGGCCATAAATCATTGAGACATACTCTCCGCCATTCACAAACTGATAGCCTATTTCAGTCCAGCTTACCTTAGCCACCGACGAGGGGAGAACAGGCAGACATAATATATATTCACATCGAGCCCCAGCGCGAGCGGCAGGCGAGAAATCTCCCCTCCTTGAAGGCAAAGGAAAAAAAGACCACTGTTTAAAGCTGCGTCGCCCCCCCCCCCCCAATAGCCACCCCGGCTGGGGAGCCCGAGGGGCAGACCGGCCGGAGGAGCCGCCGCGGCGTCCGCTTCAATTCACTCGGCTTAGGAGCGGGGGTGCGCAGGAGGGAGGGGTTGGGGGAGAGGGAAAAAAAAGAGAAGAAGACCGAAAGGTGCTCGGGCGGCTCAGCTCCCCGAGAATCCAGCGCCGGGCTCCAGCACGGCCAAGCCGCCACAGTGTTGCCCTATAAGACTGGTACGCCCTACTCTCCGTAACAATGGCCTCTGCTTTTGCACAGGGAAAAAAAAAAACCACACAGACACACACACACACTCACACACTCACACACTCACAAGCTCACACCCCCCCACACCTCTCCCCCTTTAGCAAGCTTAGATGCCTGATAAGGAGGGAAGGTGATGGTGGTGATGGGGGAGGGGGGAATTTTTCAATGCCCCCCCCCCCAAAAAAAGATTGAGAAAAGGAAGAAGGTAGAGGTTTTGTTTTCTTTTCTTTTTTCTTCCCTAAGAACAGGTAAATGTTTTAATTGAGATTTTGGCAGGGCTGGGGTGGGGGGGAGTGTGGGGGGTGGTGGGAAGAGCAAAGCTGAGAAAAGCAACGGAGTTCACAGTGCCTCACACCCCACTACTAAGCCATTATGCTAATTGTAGAAGTGGCGAAGAGAGGCCTATGGCCTCTCCTGGGGGTGGGATGCTGGGTGCCCCTCAGCATTCATTCGCAGTGGGAACACTGGGCGTTCCCCCCCCCAGGACCTTATAAAAAAAGTAGTGACGTGATGCAAGTAGCCGTGTGTCTCCCGCCCTTCTGCTCTGCCTCCTTCCCTCAGCACACCCCAGTCTCCGCTGCTTCTCTCCTCACACTCTCTCTTCCTCTTCACTTTCCCCCAACCTCCGGGCCCAATTTTCCACCTGGTTCAAGGGGAAGGCCAGATCTTTCTAATTTTTTTAACCCTCTCCTATCTTATTTATTTTTGAGAACAGACAACAAGCGGTGAGTGATTATTTGAAAACCCAGAACATCTTGTGGGGTGGGGGGGCCGGCAGAAGGGGGGGGAGAGACTGGAGGAGGCAGAGAGGAGAGGGTGACAAAAGGAGGATTTAGTGTTTAGCGTGAGCTCCCAGAGACCCGCTGGCTATAAGAGAGTCTGGAAGAACTTCAGGGAGAAGTTTCTGTGAAGATTCTCACCTCCTCCGGATAGGCATAGGGACTAGGAGGTGAGAAGGACATTTGTACTTCTAAGAAGATCAGAAGAACTAGCAAAATGGCTTTATTTTCAGTGCAGTGGCAGAAGAGATGGGGGATAGTTATTATTGTTATTCAGAACAAACCTGTTTGTTTGTCTTAGCTTGGCAAGATTTACGAGTCTTGGCATAAATGTTAAGGACAAAAGTGAAACTTTTCTCGGGTGTGTTTGAGAAGGGCAGGGAAAGGCTGGGAGGCCTGTAGGAGGAAGACTGGAGCCAAGAATGTAGGTGTCTGCAGATTTGGGCCGGGGGGTGGGGAAGAGCAAAAGACAAAAAGCACACCAGGCCATTTCCAAAAGCAGGGGTGCTGCAGCTCTACTATCTGCTGACTCAGGGTATAGGGGATAAAACAGAAAGCAGCCCGGGTTCTTTTTTTACAAAAGCGGTATGGAAAATGTGTTCTCATGCATGCGAGGAATAGACAGCGCCAGCTACTACCCTCACTTCCTGGTTAGCCTGCCTGGTTCTGCCTTCTCCCATCTGGATGCGCCAGGACTAGGAGAACAAAGGTGAGGACGGTTTCAGCTGCCATCTCCCTCCTAGAAGAGGCTGGTGAAGTCTGGCCAAGCTCTCCCACCCTCCA